TATTCTTTGGAAGAATGGTCCCAATTTTGGACCAATTTTTATCCACTTGCAGTACATAATTAGCTATTATCTGGAACTTTTTTTATATTCTTTCAGCTCTAATTATGTACTGAATATTATGCATTATGTAATTTCCCAATTTTGGACAAATTTTATCCACTTGCAGTACATAATTAGCCATTATCTGGAACTTTTTTTTATATTCTTTCAGCTCTAATTATGTACTTAATCTTATGCATTATGTAATTTTTTCTTATTATAGGAACCCTGTGACTATAGAATTCCATTATGGAGGAAATTTTATGTGGAAACCTATGATCAAGTATGTTGGAGGAATGGTGGAGTTTTTAGAAATTGAAGATAGAGCCACACTGTCTTATATGTACTTTGAGCAGTTGTATCACTCTCAGTTGGGAATCAATGAGGGATGTTTGATCTACTATAGAGTGGCTGGTGAAACTTTAGATAGAGGTTTGAAAAAATTAAAGGGGGATGAGGATGTAATTCAGATGGTTACAGCTTATGAAGGCCTAGATGTCATTTGCATGTATGCAGAAAATGTTGAAGAAGAAGATGGGAGAAATATTGATCCAGAAGATGAAGATATTGATAAAGCTATTAATGAAGTGTTTGCAGAGATGTTTCCAGAAGCTAATGAACAAGAAACAAACCATCAAGAAGAACAACAAGAAGAAAATCAGCAAGAAGAAGAAGATGATGATAGTGATGATGAAGATTATGAAGAAGATGAAGATAGACCACCATCTGAAGTCAGTAGTCATCCTAGCTGGTTTGAAGAAGGCCTGGAGGTCCCACATGATGATATTTTTATGACTGAAACTATTGGAAAAGAGGCAAGTAAGGGTCCTGATGTGCAAGTGGAAGAATGGTGGTCTGATTGTGGAGATCCTATGGAAGCTGAAGACATCTTGAATAGTGATGCTGAAGGTGAACAGTATGAGGAATTCAATGAGGCTACTGGCATGAAGAATCCTGTTTTGTCTGTAGGCTTGAAGTTCTCCACACCACAACTTTTTAGAAAAGCTATGGTCAGATGGAATGTACTCTGAGGTCATGCTATCACCTACATAAAGAATGAGAACAAAAAAATAACTGCCAAGTGCAAGCAAGACTGTGGCTGGAGGATTCATGCATCACCTATTGGCAATACATCAACATTTCAGATCAAGTCATTCATATCAGAGCACAAGTGTGGAAGAGTACATGAAAATGGACATGTAAATTCCAGATTCTTAGCTGAAGAATATCTTGATGATTTGAGAGACAACCATGAAATAAAAGTGAAGTCCATGAAGAGAAAGGTAAGGAAAGACCTTAATGTTGATATCAGTAGGTGGCAAGTCTATAGAGCCAAGCATAAAGTAAAGAAGCTTGTGGAGGGAGACATAGAGAAGCAATATGCACTGCTGAGAGACTACTGTGCAACAGTGCTACACCACAATCCTGGGAGTTGTTTCAAGATTCAAACTGCAGAAGCAAATAACAGAGGAACTCAACCTAGGTTCTTAAGGCTGTATGCTAGGTTGGCTGCACAAAAAAGTGGGTATTTAGCAGCATGTAGACCTATAGTGGGGTTAGATGGATGTTTCCTCAAAGGATCAGTGGGTGGTCAGCTTTTGAGTGCTGTTTGCAGAGATGGGAATGACAATCTCTTCCCACTTGCAATTGCTGTTGTAGAATCTGAGTGCAAGCAGACTTGGTCATGGTTTCTGCTCCAATTACTCAATGATATGGGAAGTGTTCAAGAAAGAGGGTGGGTGTTTATTTCTGACAGACAAAAAGGTCTAGTTGAGACCATAAATGAACTCATGCCAGGTGTGGAGCATAGATACTGCATCAGACACATGTATGCCAATTTCAAAATGAAGTATAAAGGCAAAGAATTGAATGATCTATTCTGGAAAGCAGCATCTACTGCAAACAAGAATGAATGGCAGTACTACATGAATGAAATAAAAAAGGCTGATCCACCAACTGTTGCTGAGAATGGAGAGGAAGGTCCTTGTGCATTCAAGTGGTTAATGAATGCTATTCCTCAAAACTGGGCCAGGTCACATTTCAGTCCAAGAGCTAAGTGTGATATACTTGTGAACAATATGAATGAAAGCTGGAATAACTACATCATAGATGCCAGAGATATGCACATCATTTCTATGCTGGAATGGATTAGAAAAGCTCTAATGATAAGGTTTCAAGTAAAAAGAAATGGTATGCTGAAGCATGTGGGAAAGCTTGGTCCTAATATCTTCAAGAAATTGGAGAAAATCAAAGAAGCCAGTGCTAATTGCTTTCCTACTTGGTCTGGGGGGATGCTATATGAAGTAGAGTGCCATGAGGGGCCTCATGTTAGACAATGCTCAGTTAATCTTGAAGCAAGAAGTTGCACCTGTAGGATGTGGGATGTGAGTGGACTGCCATGTTAGACAATGCTCAGTTAATTTTGTTAATTTTGCAAATTATTTGGCAATTGATATATGCAGTTTATGGAAACAGAGACATTAGTAGTCATTAGTAATAGCTTTTGATTTCAAAACTTACAAACAAGAATTGCAACTGAAATTAAATACAGAAAAAGACATCCAACCACCATTTGCTTCACCATTTCTTGTTTAGCTTCAAGTACTTGAACCCTAGTCTTTATGCCTACAACCATTTGCTCAATTCCCTCTCCAGCTCTAGCTGATGTTGTTCCAGTTGATATGCCATTGATTGAGTAGGGAGTGCACCATCCTTGAAAGCCACAATTTGAATCGGAGCACCCAAAATATAATCGACCCTTTGATGGCTTCTCAGTTTCAACAATTTTTATGACAGCTTTTCTTCCACAAGAACATATCTTCCCGTGGTATCGTAGATCGACAGTTTCATAGTTGTTTGAAGAAGAAGACATCACAAAAAAAAAAGGGGGGGTGGGGGGGTGTTGTTCAGCAGCAAAAAAAAATGAGAATTAGGGTTTAATTTGAAAAAGATGGTGGGGGTATTTATTGAAGAAGAAATGGTAAATATTGAATGGAAAGTGGTTGAAAGTGGTTGAAATGTGTAAAAATATTAATTTATGGTAAAAAAAACTCAACCAAGTCATTTTCGAGCGAGTGAGATGCACTCTCCGTTAACATTTAACGGATATACTGACGGGCGCTACATTGTGCAAACCACAGGGAGGTAAAAGGCCTATATTGATATGACAGGGGGGTAAAGTGCAACAAGTTGAAACCACAAGGGGGTAAAGTGCTATTTACCCTATAATCATCCACAATTTTTTTTCTTCAATTTATGCGAGATTTGTTGCGCCAAAATGAATAATATTTGAGATAGATGATCACCTTGCTTAAGAGTGTAATCTTCCGACACTATCACCATTGATTTTGAACAAATACCAATTATCGAAATGCTTCTACGTATGAGATCACATGATGGATGAGAAAAACCAAACCCTTGTGAAGAAATCGCCACTCTAATCGATCGTACGCTTTAGCCATGTCTAGCTAAGCTTGGAAATAATATTTCCTCCACATACCTTCCGATCTAAGTCCCGAATCATCTCTTGAGCTAGCAAAAATTACATATATATCATTTTCTATTATTATATCTATTTATTTATTATATTTTTTTCACAAATATAAGAACTTGAGTATCATACTATTATTGCAGGTATTCAGTCTTGGAGTGGGAAAGAAAGCTTTTGGAAAAGAATCAATTCTGATGGTACGGTGCTAAAAAAAACTGGGGCGATCGCACGTAAATAAATATTTGATAAACATAAACTACAATGATTAGACAAAGAGAGGCTACTCATTGGTAGCTTTCATTCCAAATTAATTGTATATACATAATTACCCATCAATTTAATAAAATAAAAAGAAAAACAACTAGTACTATTAAATTAGTATTTGAATTTGAATTTGAAGAAGAAATAAGAAGGTTTGAAGCAAACTAAATGATGGCCATGCACCCAAGCACATCTTAATTAACCAACATCCTCCATCATAATATGTATATTTTATTATGTATATATGTTGAGAGCGAGGTTAATTAATAATTAAAATTAGAAAAGAGAGCATACGACGTATAGGTAGAGTTGTCAAGTGGAGGATGCATATGTGGTACATCTTCAAAGCTCCAATCTCTTCTCATGCCGCTACTCCTCACCAACCTCGGTGTTGGCGTAGTTGGCGCCGACATTGATAACAATGATGATGCTGACGATGATGACCTACTATTACTTTTTTCATTTAATAAATAATCAATTTGATGATGATGATGATGATCAACTTCTTTCTTCGATAATCGACTTCTCATTCTCTCATGAAAATTGGGTTTCTGTGCCAAATTACCAGACCAACTTCTCTCCACTTTCCTCATATATATCTTTAAATTTGATTTCTTCTTCTTCTTCTTCTTCGCATTCTCTAACGTTAACAATTCACCACCAACTTCCCCCATGATTGCACTTTCTTCAGAATAATATTCCATCTACGAACGTTTGTGTTGTGAATTTTGATGATTATTATGATTTTAGTTAGTTGGTTGGTTGGTGGGTTGACAATAATGGCAACAAATTACTATGCGTTCATCTATCTAACTTATATATCATTAATAACACTAATACTAAAATTAGAGATATATTGGAAAAATTATCTATGTTACACTTAACGTGGGGCTAACGCCTTCCATGCGATCGTATTCTCATATTCCTATTCAATGATACCACAACTCCGATAACAAAGCTTCACCACAAGTACGCTTAACCATTCCTTTCTGCTACTCCCTTCCCTACTCTTCGCTTTTTCGTCCTATTGTTATAGACTAACAATAAAGATGCTTCAATTATATCAATAAATATACACAATTACTAAAATACTCTTTATCTTTAATTGTTTCTCAACTAATTATCTTTCAATTCATTAATAGCGACAAATAGCAAAATTTCAAAAAGAAAAAAAAAAAAAAAACAATTAAATTTTCATTTGAGTCTTAAAAGTGATAAATAATTTGGACCAAAAAAAAAAAATAAACTTGTCCAAAACGAGACAAAGGCTTCAGAAAGGGGGTTGGGATAAAACAATTTTGAGCATTAAGCTAGGGATCATAACTGTAGCTAGGTTGAGTTTGACATGGAATCTTCACTACACTTTGATTTGCAGGTTTGAATCTTTATCTTGTGGCTCATTAAACCAGAGCAAAAAGAGAATCAACAAGTCTTTCTTCGGTTTTCTTTCTTCCATTAAGATCTGCTGTCAATAATTTGTTGACGGAATTCTCAGTGGAAGCATACAACTTGTTTTAGAAGTCAGTTAGACACATAATTTACAATTTGAAGGCCCAAAAATTAGCAACAAAAGAACACAATGTTTTCATGTTCGGAATGACATATTTCATGAAGCTAGGAAGTGAATAAAACTAGAAGATTGAAATACGCAATTGAGGATCTAAGGAAAGTATTGAAATTGGAATAAAAAGAATGATATGGTGTAGTTAGCAAGCTACGTTTTACCTTGTCAAGTGACTAATTAGGAAGCATATGGATTGCATTTGGCCAAGCCAAAGTTGAATAAGTCGGCAGAATAATGGCAGAATTAGGATTAATTGGTTGTTGTTGTTGTTGTTGACTATTGTCATCATTCGACTCAGTTGAACCACCTGGAGACCCAAAATTAAACATGCTGTTTTGACGAATAGTACTGCTCCTCGTATTAGTAGCACCACTACAAATATACTTTGCCTTTTTCCCATCTGCGATGAAGCTGCCTACCACAACCTGCAAGGCAACACAACCAAACAGACCACCGTCACTATGATGATGACGTCATGGTGATGATGTCATGCTTATACAAAGAAAGAATACTACTAACCTGGACTTGTGAGGCTGCTTTAAGCAACCCAGCAACTCCACCACCCAATACCATACCATCTGAACCCGCCAAAGACACACTAAGACCACCACCACCACTTGTACTTCCCGACAAGCATATTATCTCAAATTGCCCCTGTTCCATTTTTTCACTTCAATATCAATACATACATACATAAATACATACATACATACATACATACATACATACATAAATACATACATACATACATACATACATACATACATACATACATACGTACATACATGTGTAAAAATCAAAATTGACAAAAGAAACCTCATATGTTACAGTTCCACCAGACATGGATGCTTGTCTAAGTGTAACATTGCTGATTGTACCATTAGCAGATAATATGCAAACCGTCCTACATCCTTGCTTTGAGAATGCCATTATTTTTGAAGCTACATCCTGCAGCAAAACACCACCCAATTCTTTTTAACCAAATCAATACCAGAAAAGTAAATCAAACCACATCAATATTTTTGTGTTTTTTCAGATACAATTTTAGTTCTTCAAGATTCAATAACGGTCATACTTGCATGTTGACTCAGCCTTTACTGCAACACCGAGCATTTAAAACACTTGTTGTTATAATCAAATAGATAATATTCAACTATTTCACATTAATGTAACATACTAAATTGATACAAGCAATGTAGCAGCAATATTGCAAAAAAATCCTAGGTTTGTTGGCAATCACAATCTATTTTTTCTCTACTAAACAACTTATTACTCCTACTTCATTAATTTTACCAAACAGCATAGATGAGAATAAATTAAATATCCTCGACTCCATTACCCAGAGGCAAAATGTCCTCTTTTTTTTTTTCTCCGAACATGCGAATATGCACAACCAAACCATTTATTCATGCAATTACAAGTAATAATTATTCATTCAAGAAATTAACAAATCTTCCATGAAAAGAAAAAAAAAATCAGGTTTAAAGTTTAATAGAATAATAAGCTGACAACCTCAACCACCACCAGTTAAAAGCACCAATTCTTATACCGATAAGCATAATGTTAAGGAGTCAAAGTTATTAATCGAGTAATTAATATACGTTGACTAAACAACTTTCACAAAAAAGACAACGTGAGCGAGAGCCGATTGTGGTAGCCCCATGAAATGAAAATGATATTATAATAATAATTAAGCATCTCAATTATAGTGCAAATTGAGTACATGTTATAACAAATTGAATTCCAAGATCTATTATAATAGTGGATTCAACTGATTCTACAAGTACATGTTACAAAGAAGAAATGGATTAGTTTATGGATTAATAATAATAATAATAATAGTATTCATTAAATGCAGAATAACAAAGATAGTACTTTTGAACTAACCTCTCCAGCATTAACTGTAATTACATGAGGCGTGAAACCAACTCCGGGTACTCCTGCTTATTAACCCAAATTAATTAAATAAATCTTCATTTGAAAAACAATGTCGAAAAAAGAAGAAAGAAAACCTAGAGAATTCAACTGCTTTTTGACAGAACCAGGAGGCCTGCCACGTAGACGCTTGGCTGCTGCTGGGGTTTCGGAGACCCCAATGCACTTTCTAGGCCTACCCCTTTTTTTCCTCGACGGCTCTCCGCCACCGCCACCGCCACCGCCGCCGTCAGACTGAAGATGATCCACTGTTTTCTGGCCAGACATAGAGTTATTAAAGGGGAACCCATGGTTTTGCTGCTGCATCATATTCATATTCATTGTGTTAGGGTTTATAGACAGATTTTGTTGGGATTGAGAGTGCGAGGCCATAACTACACCGTGATTATTATTATTGACGGTGGTGGTGGTGGTGGTGGTGTGGCAGATGGAGAATCAGCTTTATTATTATTTTTTCTTTTTCAAATCGAATAAATAAATTCAATTTTGGGGGATTTCTGGGGTTTATAAAATATAAAATATAAAATATTAGGGTTTTATGATCGATCTTCTTTTCCCCAATCAAACTTTGGGCTTTTCTTGTATGTAGATTTAGTTTACCGATTCACCAAAATCTCTTGTTTATTTTCTATGTAGCTAAATTAATAAATAATTTTCTTTCCAAATTATAAAGGTTTAATATCACTTGCAGCCCCTTTTAATTACTCAAGTTACAGATTCATCCCCTCTTACTCGAAAAACTGCTCAAACTCAAACCCCTCTTATTAGATTATTTCGCTTTGGGCTTAATATTTTTACCAAATTATTTTACCAAATCATATCAATTGTCTATCAAAATATTTCTATTGAATGATTATCCTACCATACCATCTACCATACCGTATTGTTACGGTAATATTTTAGTAGGGCAACGGTGCTCAATATTATTGAAATGGTATTAACCTACCATACCAAAATATTATTAATAAAATAAAAATATTATTTTAATAATTAATTATTATATATAAAAATAAACATATTATATTAAGTAACTACTATTAGTTAATTGGGGCTTAAGATATAGGTCATCGATAACAAAACTTATTAGAACTAAATAATAAGTTCAACTAAACATTTGTTTCACATCCTTCATAAATTTTATTTCAAAAATGTCTGTCCACTCACAAATTCGAAAGTAAAATTCAACTTGCATTTATCATTTTTTTTGTCTGCATTTTATTTAATTGGGGGTTTCATTTTCCATTTTCTTGATTGAATTTGGCAGTTCTGCATTTTTTGATATGCAGTTCGTTATTGCAAATAAATATTATTATTTTTTTCTTTTTTGGGAATAACTATGGAAACTTTCACATATTTTTGATTTGTTTCCTAAACTTGTGTTAAAGTTAATATGTTCGTGATGATGCTAGAGTTAGATGACCTTTAGAGAGTTGAAGTAGGATGATCTGGAAGAGCAGAGTGGATCACTGGTTCACGAGCTTGATGACCTTGAGATACCTGCGATCATAGAACACGTAAACTAAGTCGGGGGTTGATCCGGTGGAAACCCCTTCGACGCTCAACTTAGACGTGCGGATAGTGAAAATAGTCCAGAGAATACAGTTGGTAATATTGCTCAGATAATAGGACGTACCTTAAGGAATGAGTTCAAACATTTATTTATACCTCATTGATTGGGCTGAAGTTTAATTAGTTGAGATTGTCGGGCCAAAACCTTATTTGAAGATAATTGAGCCTCGGTAATAGTGGTCTTCAATATTGGGCTCGTGGCCCAGTACGTAAAGAAATTGTAGGCCTATCGGGTTGGCCCAATTAGGCATATCAATTTTGTTGTTGCAAAAACGTGTGTGTGGATTTATATATATATATATATATATATATATATATATATATATATATATATATATATATATATATATATTGTTTTGTATTTTGCCATTTCATAATGTATTTGATCTTGCATATTGCAACAATAATTGTATTTTCGCATCTCGTATTGCAACTTCGAGCACTGTATCTTTTGCTATAGGGATTGTATGATGCGTTTTGATATTGTAATATGCATTGATGCAAATTTGTGCGTATTATAATTGGAAAGTTGGAAAGCTCTTTTGGTTGAACTTGCATTTTACTGTCGCTACAACTATAGGCCAGAAGAAAACAAACAATAATAGATTCATTAACGGTTGATGCTACTGACAAGATCAAGTTTTTAAAAGAGAACGTTATAAAGTTGTGAATTCAGTCGGACGTCGAGATTATAACTATCTTAATATAAATTTAATTGAGAGTAAATATGTCAGTAGATTAATAATTTAATTTAATTTAATTTATATTACATTTCTTAGTCAATGTGACCTATAGCTATAATCACCTAACAAAATGGATCCACATCCATAAAAGTTCCAAAGGAGAGGGGTCAAGCCAATTATCTCTTTTTAGTTATATTTTGTGACACCCATTTTCTAATTACACTTACTTAGTAATTTAGAATATGCTAGCGGAAGACTTATAGAAAATAATGAGTGTGGAATGCTCGTTTTAGAAATCACCTTCTACCAATAGAAAGTTACGCATAAAGTTTTCTTTTAAAATCAGAGGAAGAGTGTCCACATAATAATATATCATATGCACTTCACCAAATATCACAAAAGGAACAGGCATGACTAGATAATTGAAATTATCAAGAGTAAAGATTAGGAATTTCGGATAGATTTGGTAGATCAACTTAGAAAATTAATATCTCTTGAACCCTTCATGACAATACTTTGAAATTTTAACCACATACTCTAATATGGGTCGAAATTACTTAGTTAAAAGAGTTTTAAAATATCATTAGCCGTTTGAGAGAAATAATTAAACATATGCAACTGTACAGTTTTAAAAATTCAGAACAGGAGAGGGAGCTTTGAAAATTATTTATAAATTCTCTACTGTTCTAAAAACTACCAAATTTTATAAGAAAGTAGATAAGTGAGTTAGGAACATATTCTAAGTTAAATGGATTCATTTGAGTAAGAAAAACTTCATATTGATGCATGTCCTAAAATGACTCAGCATGTGCACAGTTACGGAAACTAATTTATAATAAATTCCTAACTTGTCCAAATGATGCAAAAGACCTACCAAAATAACCCTAAGAGAAAGACCTATGACTTTGTAAAATTACATGCAATTCTAAACAGAAAGTATATTTAATACGGATTATCGAATCAACCGGGCAGAACACAACATATAATTAACCGACAAGCATTATATAGAAGTTTGGCAAAAAGAGGAAATCAAAATCCTAACTATTATTAGATGCAATGTTCTTACTAATAAGACCCCCCGAGGGGTGGAAGAGTACGATAATAGATATCTAAGACGGTATCGAAAGTCTTTAAAATTAAACTATATAAGTAAAACAATATGGCTAAATTAAGAGCACACAAGATCCACACGCCTTCCATATGAACACATCCCTCGATCCTCGAACTCGACTCCAACGTTACGACTCGTGCTCGGGATTGAAAGTACCTACAAGCATTTCAACACCTATATGAGTCTTTTGGACTCAATGAGAATTCCGAAAAAAATATCGAATACACATAGGCAAACAAGCATATATTTATGATATGTATATATGTATATATCCCATCTCGAATCACACATATACACAATAAAAACATTTCGATTTTACCTCAATCGTCATTTCATTGAGGAACTTTACCAATTTACCTTTACCTTCTCGGATTACCTCTTAGAACTTTTCGATTTACCTCTTAGACCTTCCTTTCATCATTTCATAAGGAATAAGAGTAATCCCTTACAAGGGAGTCGTCATTCTTTTACACATACATTCATTCAAGTGCTCATACAATGTGTGAGAAAAACATTTTTGTCGGATATCCTTTGGAAAAATCAAGTAAAACCATAGACAATAAGCCTTCATTTATTTGGAACCCGTTTCATAAGTGGAATCAAACCACACACTCTTCATCTCATTTTTTGGGTACCGGTCCCTCATACTCCGTGCTTATTCGATCTATGTTTTACAAGACTTTCCAATTTTAAAAACGTGCAAGTGAGGTTAGTACATACTTTCATTCAATTCAAGCAACTTGATTAGTTGTGTGAGAAAAACATTTTCGTTCGGATATCCTTTGAAAAATCAAGTAAAATCATAGACAATAAGCCTTCATTTATTTGGAACCCGTTTCATAAGTGGAATCAAACCACACACTCTTCATCTCATTTTTGGGGTACCGGTCCCTCATACCCCGTGCTTATTCGATCTATGTTTTACAAGATTTTCCAACTTTAAAAACGTGCAAGTGAAGTTAGTATATACTCTTCATTTCACATATTCAAAGTTAGTTTTCACATAAACACACATATTTCCACATATTTCACAAAGGCACATAGTTTAGTCACAAAATCACAAAAGCAAGTAAGACAAATAACAACTCAAGCAAAGAACATAGATCACATATTTACACATATAGCAAAACAACTCAATACATTCGGTTATTTACTATCTCCAAGTTTCATTACTTAAAGTTCAAGCCCTCTTTCTCAAGAGACTTGAAGTTTTCTTTCAAGTAGCACCAAATTTCCATTTATTTCTTTTCCTTTCCAAAATATTCGAACCATCAACAATTCAATCACACAAAATTCCATTTTTATTAATCTTGTCATCGGTTTTTACTTCGTATATTATCTTATTATTCATAGATCATAAACCATGGATTGCAAGCTTCCTCGACCCGAAGGGAGTACACTTACAACCGCGTCGGTCGATATATATATATACACATAGAAACATATACTTATATATATAGCACATATAGATTATAAATAAACCATGGATCAAGTACTTTCTTCGACCACGCAGGTTTACGAAAACCATGGATTGAAGTTTCCTTAAGATCACGCAGGTCTAGTATATATATACATACATAAAAATAAAATTACAATATTATTCTTAGTTCTTTAAGATTATATCATTTAAAGCTTAGATTCTTACATGCATGGATGATCAAAGCATAAATGAAACACAAAGTTTTATTTTCTTTCTCCTTTAGTTTTCGGTCACCACAAGAACATTAACAAGAAATTAAAGAGAAGAAAAATACTATTGGTGTTGAAGCACTTGTAGCAAGAATTCGAAAATTCTCACCTTAATCTTCTTAGAAAATTGGGAGGGTGTTCTTTCCTTTCTACAAGGAGAAGAAGAAGAAATTTTAGAAAGAGGGGAAGAGAATCTTAGTTTCTTGAAATTTTCGAAAATGAAGAAAAGAAAGAAGATGAAGAAGACTTACTCCTTTGGCCAAGAATTTTACACTTGAAAGAGAGAATTTGGGGCTTTCCTATACTATAATTTCGAAAATTGGGAGAAGAGGAGAAAGAGATTTTGATTTTTTAGAATGTGTAGAGAAAAATGAGAAATAGATGAAGGCTTGGGTTCA